GAGGATTTTCCAAAAAAAAAAAATACTTTTATTTTTCCGCATTTGGTAAGATTGGTGGAAAGAAAATACTTGCTAGAAAAATATTTTATTTTTCCGCTTGGCCGACCGAAAGAAAACAAAAAAAGAGTTCATTTAAAGTCTCGTGATTGAGGATATAGGAAAAGAATGAATCAAATATGAATGATTTATTTGGAAAGAAATCTACCTAAATAACTAAATAAGACTACGAAGAAAACAAACAATTTTAATAGACTAGATCAAACAATTTTAAATATAACTTCAACCATATCAATGTAAATCAAATTTTAATAAAGATATATTAGATCCAATCAGATTAGATGAAGGAAACAAACTCTAAAACTTGAAACTTGTACCAAATATGACATGCTATGTTTGTATTTTCAAAATAGAATTATTGTCATTGTAAATGCTACAATTTGGCAATGTGTGTTCACATTTTATAAATGTTTTTGGAATTATGTGTTGAGATTTTAAGTCCTACTTTGATATACAACCGAAGGTCTAATCTTGGTCTATGAAGCAAGTTTTAATACTAATGAGGTATTTCTCTATTTTTTAAAAATATCATTTTAACTCGTGTCATGTATGAGTGTAGCATAGTTGTTATTGATTTTATTTAAAATGTCTCTCACGCATTAATATGAGTAGAACATGCCAAAAAGGTTTTTTTTTGTAATTTTGGAAAACAAAAAATAAAAATATTTAATTTGAGATTAATGGAGTGTATATGTTAATTTTTATTTTATTTATTTTTTATTTCAAACATAAATAATTTGGTTTTTAAAAAAATTGCATTAAATTTTTTTAAAAAAGAATTGAAAAGGTTTTTTAAAGAGGAAACAAAGAGAAGAAGAAAAGTGTTAAAAAGGGAAAAAACCCAAAAAATAAAAGAAAGTTGGGAAATGAGCTCTCTTGTCCTATTTGGTTTGAAAACTATGTACCAATGCCCTATTTATATCGAATAATGATTGGAAAATGGCTAAAAATGATCAAGAAGGGTGTGTGCAGTATTTTGAAATGATGAAAAATTTATAAATAAGTTTTGAAAACAAAAGAATACATTGATGTATGTTTCTTAAACTATTGGGGCACTGAAACTAGTAGCTTTATTTTGGTTTAAAAACCTTGATTGAATAATATCTCTTGATTCTTATATGATTTAAGTGAATACGCTCAAATTTTATGAATTTTAACAATCTATTTTTTTAAAAAATAAATTAAATATCTAAATTGAAAGCAATTAAAATTTTGAATTTCACACATTTATATTTAAAAGCAAGAATTTTATATCAATAACAAAAGAGTAAATTATATCATTGATTCTTTATAACAGAAGAATTTCCATAATCTTCTATTATATCATATAGTACCTCTGTCTCACTCTCTTTGTCCACTTTTGACTTTTGGAACTGTTCATCTAAACACTTTGACTCATCAAAATCTCTCAATGTGTAAGCCTAAATATAGTCATGTGTGATCTTGTTTGATTTGTCTTAACATATAGATTATTAATATATAATTTCTATTGTAACACCCTAATCTGTCCAGGTCTGCAGCCTCTTTCAGATTAAAGTATTAACTTGGTAATCGTAAAAATTTAAAACATTTCAAACACTTTTATTTATCACAATAATATTTTTCATAATATAAACAGTACGGAGTTTTCAATATTGCGGAAGCTTAACAATCATAATCACAAACATAATTTATTTATGTTCTTTAATTCAAAACCATCACATCCATTCCGACAATCTCGCCTCCATCTGCCTCCAGGATCAAGTCACATCATTAACCTGCGTGTAGCAAATAAAACATACTACACGCTCAGCGTTGAAGCTGATTAAGCATATCTAATGCATCGAACATCCATATAAACTGAATCTAAATTCATAATCAAATCATTTGATATCATGCACATAATGTTCAGTTCATATAATCAATAATTATTAAAAATTATTCATCATGCATTATTCAACATTTATATTTACATTCAATGTTCATCAGTCATTCATAATAATTGCAATATTCAATTCAATGTTCATCATTCAATATTTACTCATATTCAATATTCAATATTCAACATTCAACAATATCCTTAAACTATTCTTAGTCTAAGGCCAATCACTTTAATATTTGTCAACCCTTAAACGAATTCTAGTTTAAATAATTAAACTATATTCCAGTATAAAATATTCCTAAATAATCCTTAAGCTAGGCCTAGTTTAAGATAAAAGGGTTTTGAAAATCTTAAACTTACCTTCACTTAAGGCCAACCAAAAACCGACAGCGTAGTGTTCACTGTTGGGTGGGTGGTACCCCCAAACGAGTAGGTACTCAAGTTTGGTTCCTGGATCCCGTACGTACGTTTTAACCCTAGCCACCGGGGTTCATACCCGCAAGGCCTAACTTAAATAGGTATATCTTAGAGGTCTTCTAGATACCTTTCAAATCAACATTAATATGGGTATATCTTAGAGGTCTTCTAGATACCCTTAACAAT